ATGGCCTTGAAACAGGCCGTCTATTATTCTCCATGGACTGTGCTGGATTTGTGTGGGAAAACACAAACTGCCAGTTTGGTCAGCTTCTGTCATTTTGTGATTGAAAACACTTGTGTCTCTTCATTTCAAGGCATTAGCACAGATCAAGAATCTTCTGCTTCATATGAAAAATTATAAATGTCATCTGAGTTACAAGATGTAAAGAAGTGAAAGAAACCAAGCTCATTTTATTTAAATATGGATTTATTTAAATAACAGATCAACTCTGATGCAAACCAGCAGTTTGGAAGTGCGATGTGCTTTCCACTGACACAGATCACAGCAGATGAGTTCAAGACAGTTATAATTATTAATCTAATTAATGTTATATATGTCTGTAAGATGCTGCAGTGGTTGCAGAGAACTATCATACACATATATTATATACCACATACAAATCCCGGTGGATCAGCTTTTCTAGTGGCATGGGCCACATTGGAAGGTTCAAGCTCAGATTGGCTGAAGCTCCGAGCAACCTGAGTTAGTGAAAGATGTATCTGCCCATGGTTGAAAGGTTGGTCTGAACGATAATTAAGCATCCCTTCTAACTCAAATAATTCTGTGATTCTGTGATCTAACACCCTGCACAACTGGGAGCAACAGTTGCCCATTCTGACTCTTCAGATATGCAGAAATGTGTCGAACAACATATTTTCTTTCCATCGGGTATAGATGGGATATATGGTAGTGGCAGCCCCACAAATATTGGTGGAATGCTTTCTTGAAATTATTTCCTAACTCTGGCTAGAATACTCCTGCAGGAGTACTCTGAGACATTAATTATACAGCACTGCCTGTCCCTGCTTAATTCTGGTTTTGATCATGTTCTTTCACTTCTAATCAAGAAAAGGTGAGTAAGCAGAATCAAACATGCTATAAAGAAACACCCATCACGGCAAGAAAAAGGACATAAACTGATACTAATACCTTCAGAACAGTTATCTAGCTTTGAAAATGTAGGAGAAGATGATATAGACAAGGCTGTAGAGGGTACAAAGATAAGGAGAAATTTTTCTACTTTTGCCTAAAACAAATATGTGTTACAAATCTAAATACAAAAATAACATGCCAAAAGCCCGGCTATCAGGCATTTGCCACACTAAATCAAATGCTGGTATGCCTTTTCAGGGATTCAAATATATCTGCTATTTCTGACTCACCTAGTAATTTTTTTTTTTTTTTTTTTTATGAGGAATAGGCTTTTTCAAAGGAATTTTGCTTAAAAAAGAACTTTGGAAGAGCTCTTTGAATAACAGCGGAAATACAGAATCTTATTTCTAAAACTCAAGTTATAAAACCTGGAAAAACAAGCAGAGGTTCTGTTTGTTTTTTTGTTTTTAATAAAATATTGATAAAACTGCACCTTAATGCTGAAATCTGTACAAAGGATGCAGATTACTTACAAAGACCCACATTTGTCCTACTTTTTATTTTTTTGGATAGTAATTTAGTACAAACCTCCCCAGAAGCAGAAGGATTTTGCCATCTCTTGATGTTTTCAGGAGAATTCCAAAAGAATGGATTGCTACTAGCAAGAATTGCTACTAGCCCAGATTTCAAAACTTACACAAAAAGAGAAGGGAGTCTCATGGAGAAAGTGATGAAAAGGAAAGTATTTGAAATGGAAAACTGCAAAACTGCATTTCAGCTAAACTGATTAACCACCTGTAATTATCAGTAATGAGGGGCATGCTGTGCTGAAGATGCTGCACCACTGGCTGCAGATTAACATTCATGTTAACTTAGGAAACATGTTTCAGGCTGCACATAATGGGTGATCCTTCTGTGCATGAATCTTTGTCCCAATCTGCTTGAAGCTGACTGAACAGCCTGGGGGACTTGTAGATTTACTAAACATTTCTGCTGATATGGACAGATCAGTCAGGAGTATGTTCAAGGATCCTTCCTAACTTTCCAGAGTTGACCCAACAGAGGCCTCTACCCAAGATGTAGTCGAATAGGCAAAACTGGGCAAGTCATGGCACAGTTACTTTTGTTAAGGAAAGTAATTGTACAAAACACACCTTTGCTAATGTGACTACATCCCCATAGAAGCATCCTCCCATTACAATACATCATAGGATCTCCTATGTCATCAGCCAGGGACGGACAACTTAGGATTCAGTCTCCCCCCAGTGCTGGCAAATAATGTTACACTGTCCTGCTTGCAATCATGCTCCATCTATGCAAAACTGGAATAAGAAAATGGAGAACCAGGCCCTGTATTTTACAGAAATGCTGCTAGAGCATCCTAATATTTCACTAGAATCAAACAAACCCCTTACTTTTCTTCTACAACACTGCAAACTCCAGGAAAAGCCATTTTTCCCTCTCTTTCCTCCTATTTTTTCAGCCGAGAAACATCCTGATGACCCAGTGTTTTCTCTCTGTGAATACTTTAGCAGTGTGTACATTATTTTATTTTAAATCCTGCCTAAAAATGCAGTTAGGCATGCAAAAATCCTGCCTAAAAATGCTTTTAAGCATGTTACTCTGAAAGATCTCACTGGAGATAACTAAAAGAAGTTAGTTGCATAATAAAGTATTTTTATAATTAATAAAGATGAAAGTCACACTGAGAGTGAATCCTTGCAATTTTGCATAAAATATTCAATGTTTCTGGTTGTGTACTGACAAACACAGAGCAGCCCCTTGACTCTGATGAAACCTCCCATCTATTTGTGAACTTCCAGCATATGGTGTTTTAAAAGAGATAGCTAAGAGCAATGGGCTAAGTAGTGGAGTTTTCCTTCAATAATAAATCCACATCTTAAGCACAGCCATGAGGGAGACAAAACTACACTGTTAAAATCCAACTAGAATAGCTTCTTCAGGAGTTTTAACCATAACATTCTCTATGGAAAAAAAAAAAAAAAAGGCAGCTGGAAGATATTAACTTGGTTTCTAATTGAAACAATGGTGTGTTTTATTTCATGTCGGGATTTCAACAGACTCTTAATTAGAACTTTTACCAGGCAGTTTTCAGTAAAAATATCTTGATGACATTCTGGTCGTCGAGAAGTTCCTGGGAGACTTGACACCTGTTACTCCTTGGAAGAATCATTCAAAAAGGCAGGCAGGTAAACAATACTCCCCAACTCATAGAATAAATATTAAGTCTAAATATCCAGAGTATTTAAAAGAATAATGAAAATACTGGAAAATAATTTGTGCTGTCCAGACTTTGGGATGATAGGCAGACAGCAGTGCTTAAAACAAAAGGCAAAAATTCATGGGTTGCCTGCTACATTTTAGAATACTAATAGAATATTTACAATGTAAATGTATAGCTGGTAAAGTCACTACTATGGCCTTTCCCCAGGACATGAAAAAATTAGGCTTACCTAGGTTATGAAAAGCAGTTTAGTTATTGAAAACAATGTTTGAAACACAATTTTCTATATAGTAAAAAAAATATACAAACCCAGATATTATCATTCAAACTGAAACACACATTCAAAATGTATCACCTAATTTTTCAAAACACTGAATAAGGGATTTCCATAAACAGCATTGCTATGATTCAGCTTGATATAACTTTTTAAAGTGGCAAAAAATTAGTAAACAGACAGTATTAAAACCTGGAGTGAATGAAAGAGAAAAAAAAAAATCCATGAATATACCACCTTCAGATTGGGGAGAGGCGAGGAGAGAGGGAGGGGAGGGAAGGAAAGGGAAGGGGAGGGGAGAGAAAAGAGGTTGGACAGTAACTATAACAATCATCTACTCCTATGACCACAAGTTAAAGCATATTACTATTACAACAAGGGCATTGTTCAAATGCTTTTTAAACACTGTCAGGTATGTGACATTGATCACCTATCTAGGAAGCCTGTTCTTGGTAAAGAAATTTTTCCTAATATCAAGTCTGAACTTCCCAAGATGCAGCTTTGAACCATTCCCATGTGTTGTATCACTGGCTACTAGGGAAAAGATCAGCAACTTCTTAATATCCCCTTCTCATACTGATCAAAATAGATTGAGTTTAACTTCTGGGCTTTATTGACATGAATAACATTAATTTTCAGTGCTGATTATCAAAATAAAAATGGATAGAGATATAAAATAATATCATCAACAAAGCTTGAGATGCGTGGGTAAATCAGAAAGCGAAACTACCTTTTTTTCTGCAGTAACTTACTTGCCTGACTTTTGGGATTAAGAAAATCCCTAAATCTTCTCCCTCTTGCTAAGAGACAAATAATGTTCTCTGTATTATGCATACATAGAAATAAATGCATCAACCGCAATCTGGTCTGAGTTAGCTCCATCTTTTATGTGAAGAAGGTCTATGAAGGCACATTTTGGGATTCTTTTATGTATTTAAATGAAGGGGGATCTAAACTGTTATTGCAACAGCAGTTTTCTCTCAAATTTTAGCTGAAGTTTATTGTCCCAAAAGTGGAATTCTCATATGAACACTTCTAGGGTGTTTCACTACAAAGTCAGTGGAGTCAGCTTTAACCATCTTAAAACAAATTTGGATGACTTTACACTTATGTGAACAACTTACACAGACACTCTTAGCTTCACAGCTGTGTCAACAGAAACTGCAAGAAATAACTTCTCAACTTCTATAACTAGATGCGAGAGAAATGACCTGTATATGCCTTCAGCCCCCCTCAGAATGAGAAAAATTAAAAAAAATTAAAAAGGATGTTAGACAGATTGTGGCAATATGGCTACTAGCTCAGTCTCAGGACATACCAATGTCTGTTAACAGGAATCCAAATTAGACTCATCAGAAACCAAACTCCAAAACCTGTAAGAATTTTGTATAATTTTTCTCATCACATATAAAATAAGATGCCTTTAGAGTGAAATTTCAGGCAAAGTTCACAAAGTCTGTGTTCTTTATGGCATGGATATTGCAGAAATACTGTGGCAAAAGCTTCATAGAAAATACAACCTGCCTCACAGGCAGATTCATCCCATCTGTATCTGAAATGTTACGCTCTTACCTAGAGCTGCTCTCTGAATGTGCCTCTGGGTTATCTCTCCTTTCAGACGGTCTGTAAAACATACAAAATGCAGATAGTTAGAATTTAAAATGTCAAAAATCAATGAAGTCATTATTTCCCACCATTTGAAATTCCCTGTGCTGCTGGACAATTTTAGGAGTTTTTTTTTGTGATCCATTGGACATCTGTCCTCCTGAGTTCTGTCCTTCTCTCTTCTGCAAGTAAACAAGTAAGCACAATGTGACTCTACACATCCTAACATTTAACTTTGTCCAGTAAGAAAAACTGAAAATGAAGGTCTTTACTGTCAAGCCCTTTCATAGGATAATGATCTGTTGTTGCTAGATACAAAAGAAATCTGAGTGAAACTAAAAGATATACAGAATTCCAAGTATTTTTTCAGACTTATAGGCACTACCAGTGGAAAGGAGAGATATTGGGTCACTAGTCCACATCTTTGCCAGTGAAAAATTGATTCCCTACTGTCCATTTTTCCTGTTTGTCCAGCCCAGTTTTAAATATCCCATGTGCTAGACCTTCTGCAAGTTCTAGTAGTGTCCTGGTTCCAGATAGGACAGGGTTAATTTTTTCAGTAGCTAGGAGGGGGCATGGCCAGGACACAGAGGTTATTCTATACCACCTCATGTCATTGCTGGGGATGGTGGGAAAAAGACTCTTGTTCCAGGGAGAAGGGGTTCCTTCCAGTTGAGAAAACGTGGTAGAGGGAGACATCCAGTATTGCCTGGTATCACGAATCCTTTCCTATCTTGTACACTCTGTCATTAGTGCTCTTGCTGTTAGTGTTCAGTTTCTTATCTCATTGCTGTTTCCAGATAATTGTCCTTATCTCAACCTGTGATCTTTGCCTTTTATGCCTCCAATTCTGCTCTCCACCCACAGCAGTGGGGAAGTGGGGAGAAAGCAGGGGAGTGAGAGAAAGAGCGGTGTGTGGTTTAGAGTCTTGGTGGAGGCAGTGAACTGGGGAGTACAATTCCTAAACCACAACAATTACTCAGTGTAAGTCACAGTGTAGAGGTTGTCGATTTTCAACCAAAAATTAACTAAAATTTTGTTATCTCATTATTTCTAGTTAGGCTCTCAAGACTCATATAACTCACCTTTACCCTTCTTTTATCAATTTCCTCCCTGTTCTATGACACTGTTTCAGTTTACCAATTATTTCAAACCATAATTAAATTATGACATGGGAACCAATAAAGGAAAAATATAATGCTAAATGTGCAATTTCAGCAGTGTATGTGTTCTGAGGGAGGATGGAATTATGCCTTTCAAGTTTTCAAATTAAAACCATTTCTAAGCAGAGACTTGTTCATAATCTTTACTAAGTTGTACATCTGGATACCAGGGCAAGAAAAAAAATCCACTGGATTCACTTTTTTTTTTTCCCCAGACCTCTGATTATCTACATCGTATTAGCATGCATTCTGAATTAAAAATATCCTTTTGCTTACAAGTGAAGACCTACAGAGTAAGCTAATCAGAGCAAATTAACTCATTACAAGTTGTCAAATGCTTAACCAGAGAATGCAAAAAAAGATTTGGAATTCACAGGTCATGAGAATTAGATTGCTCTGTGAGCACAAAAGAGCCATGACAAATTAAACTTTTTGGGGAATTGTGAAAATAATTGTAAAGTATTTAGTAGCATTGTAGAAATGATATTGTATGCAATATATTACAGTGTAACAGTAAAGTTTTGTTGTTTTGAATATTTATAGAGAAACAAACAAACCAAAGCACCTTACCTACTCCTTGACTATAAAATAGATACTGCATAGATACTGTATTTTTTCTGCAGAGGAAGTTTTAATCCTTTTAGTTATTTTTACTTAAACCAATGAATTCTTCTGTACCTAAAGTTAGCTGTAAAATTAAGAAAAGTCTTCAGCTACTGAGAAACAGATTAAGTGACATAACCTCATCTACCCCTGCTATAACAAACAAATAAATCCTCCATCTCAACCCCCCATTAATAATTTTTACAAATAAAAACCCTGTTAAATGATCAATGCTCACCATATTTGTGCTTTGAAAGCTTTATCAAGCAACTAAGTTGATGTAAATATTCAGTAAAATGTAATTAAATGTGCTATTTTTCCCCTCAAATTGCTTTTTGCTATTCTGGATATTTAGATCCTTGTATTCTATTGCACTGCATCACACAGTGTGATGTTACTCACTCAATACTGAGCCATGAGACAGCCATGAAACAATTTGTAGTAATCTTGAGATTCATCTCAATAGATTACCATTAACTGAGGTGCCTCAGAAAATTATCTATACATTTATCTTCATGTAAGAGCTTAGAAACTCTCTTTCTTATGCACTGTGAGCTGCCACTGTCATTTGATAAAAGTGGTTCTAGTAGTGAGAATATGCTGTTCATCAATAGCCAACTGAAAATAAGGGAGACATAGAGTTCTGTCAATATATGGTGTTATTTCTCCTTCTTTAACCTTGCTAGAAACAGATCATCAGCAATCTAAATGTTTTGCATTTCAAGTGGCAATGAGGTCAACTGAAAAAAGCAAGGCAAACAAGTCAATGAAAGTAAGATCAAACAGATAGATAACAGCTTGCCATCAGAACAAATATGTGGAAACACAAGAACATGGGGACTGTTTTTAAACGATTATAGCCAAGAGGCTTGACTTTTAATCATGTAGAATACACTCTCAACACAGTTGGGATGGAAACCACAGAGGCTGCAGAAGTTCTACTTCTATTGCAAGCTTTGTCAGAGCAGTCAGCAGCGTGAAACTGCCCCAAATGCTCCTCTCCCCTTTCATTCTAGCCTTTGTACGCTTCTGCTCCATCCATAACATGGACCACGATGTTGCAAGAAGCCTTGTCCTTCTTGATTTTGGCAGATTTGTGAAAGAATGAGAAGCTGGAACCAGACCACCTGTAGTCAGAGAGGAACCAAAGAAAACTTCTCCTTTGTCCAGAAAATCAAAAATCCAGTGTCAGCACTCTTCTAGCAAGAGTTTTTATTCTTTAAATAGAAACAGAAAGGTGACATTTTTCCGATTCACATAGTCCAAAACACCTTTTCAAGGCAGCAAAAACTGAACTTCATTTTGCAGAAAACTTCCTGAGGAGAAGCTGTACTTGTAATGGGAAAATTAGTCCAAATAGGAATTCTGATTCAGGGGACATGGTGGTATCATGAGGCACCTGACTATAATTCCATACCAAGATTTAGCCAAATGTGATTTAATCTTTCAATTTGTTTTGATCCAATTTGAAATCTGACAGTTTATTTAGATTTAATTTGGAAAAAAAAATTGGTTTTCACATAGAAACTCTTATTTTTGACATACGCTTAAGATTTTCTGTGCATGTTTTTGATTAAAGTAATCTTGTTTTGTTTTCAGGATAAATACTTGTGGGGGAGAATGAATGTTTCTGAACTGCTCTACTTTTCTGCCTCTGAGAACACCAATGCAAGGCTTGAAGTTCATAAGTGTCAGAAGTAGGGGGTGATTCCAGTACTGTTGCCTGCACAGATCTTCCCATATAAACAAATGGAAGATTTCAGTCTTTAGTACTGCCAGTTCTACAATCTTCATAAACACAAATATTTACCCAAAGAAATATGAAGAATCACATTCTCATTAAAAAACCCCTATGTCTTCTGATTCCAACAGTATAAAGCTGTGGACAAGGTAGTGCTTAAATGTGGTTTGCAAAAATTGAATTTAGGACTTGGAGAACATCTCTCAACATATGGCTAATTATGTTTCCTGAAGTTTCACCAAACAAGAAGTTAAAAATAGGTCTATAGCTGATACCAAATTTTTTTCCAGTGCAGTCATTCTTCATTTGGAGATAACGGTCCCAAGAAAATGTTGAATGCTGCAACTCCACATGTTTTGGCAAAAAAGTAGTTTTGGGGAATTTAAGAATTCACTCAGCATGCAGCCAGCTGTCATTAAGGCTGTGATAAATCTGTTGGTTTTGGCCTGTATTTCTGGACACATGTACCATCCTGAGGTATGGAAAAGAGATGAACTGGTAACACAGAAATTCAGCTCTGTGACAGGACACAAAAGCAAGGAGGGAAACAGAGAAGACAAAATGGACTAGAGAACTCTAATTAAGACTGATGTAAAGCAGAGGAAAGTATCCCATATGGTGACTAAATATGACAGAACACATAAGTTGAATAATACGGCTTTAACTTCTTGTCTTTGTGTTGTTCCAGACCGTTTCAAGGATCTGAAATTATCTTCCAATTTATTCCAGATAATGAATGCTTTGACCATACTGCATATGCTTCAGGACAATACAAAAACGACTATATTACAAATAAAAAAACACTGATTAAAAAAAATTATTTCATTTTTTTGGGGCCCATATGACAGGTTTTAATACTTCTCTTATGTTTTATCAGATCCTCCATATAATACTATTATAATGTTTCAGAGGCTGCTAACTTAAAAGACAGAAGTGCTGGTCAAGTTAAGAGTACACATACAACCTTAACTCCCTCTCTTTGAGAATATTTGTTGCTGTTGGTATGGATAGACCTTTAACCTGGCACAGGGTCTATTCTGACTCGGTAATTGATAGGCTAAAGCCTTTGTCAATAACTTTTCATCTCTTGTTATTTTTTAGTATTTTTCTATTATTTTACATTTTCCAAGCCTGTGTTTATCCTAGTAAGTCCTTCCATCCTGGAGATCCTGAAACCTTTAAACCTCATCTAGGATGCTGTCTCTCTTTCTTCACCGTGAAATCATTTTGGTGTTATATAAAATATTAAGCTGAACAACCTCTTACAAATCCAGGGAACCTCTGATTCCTAGAATTCACCCTCCAGGAAATTTTGAGTCCCTAATTGATCTATATGATATTAGTTGTTTCTTCTTTTTTTGTGTTTCTCACATTGTCACACCAGTCAATAAGCTGGGGGTGCACAAGAAGCTGGGACAGCTGACCCCAATGGTCCAAAGGGATATTCCAGCACCATCCTTACTTACAAAAAACTGGAGGGAAGAAGACTGAAGCAGGGGCATTTGGAATGA